ATGAATACCAAATACAGTTGTCCCTACAAGCAGGTCCCAAATCCTTCAAATAATATATTTTCTATCTCTATTTGGGAAGCAAATTTGCATTTAAGTAGACTCATGCAAACTTGTTCAGGAGTCAACTGTGGTTCGTTTGCATGTGTCCAAGATACCCTCCTAACTGGTAGCCCTAAGCATAGAAAGGAAAAAAGATAACTGGGTGCTTGAAATTATTAGACCTAATAATGTCTTCCTATGTGTCTCCTTAAAGGTACCAAAACTCAAGCACCAAATTTATTTTTATAAATTTTAACTTCCTATCTTCTGAGAGGACAAGGATATTTTTCTACTTTTTCTAAGACAGATAGATATTCTAATATTTTTTTTGACAGTTGACCATCTTTGACTTAAATCCAATATTCCCTTAAGCTATTACAGTAAAATAAATTAATAATCCTTAAATTTCATTTTACAACAAACACTTCTTCAAATAATTTGTAGGATATCTCCAGCATTGTTCTTTTGTACACTCATTTTTTTCTGGTGAGTATTCTACTAGTTTTGTTTTTAGGTAACCAATAGCAATTATTTTATTTTAAGAACATTGGATTTTTTTTGCAAAAATAATTTTTTTTTTTTAATGGAGTTTCGCTCTTGTTGACCCAGCTGGAGTGCAATGGCACGATCTCAGCTCACTGCAACCTCCGCCTTCTGGGTTCAAGTTATTCTCCTGCCTCAGCCTCCCAAGTAGAGTAGCTAGAATTACAGGCACCCACCACCATGCCTAGCTAATTTTGTATTATTAGTAGAGACAGGGTCTCTCCAGGCTAGTCTCAAACTCCTGGCCTCAGGTGATCGCCCGCCTCGGCCTCCCAAAGTGCTGGGATTACAGGTGTGAGTCATTGCACCTGGCCTGAAAATGTTTTTACCAAGCACACCCATTTCCTTTTGCTAAGAAGATAGTCTGTTGTCTTTGAAGTCTAATGAAATCGTTTTCAAAGTTTCATCTTCATTACTCACTGAAATTATTGGAGCGATTGGATATAGTGGCCATGTAGCATTCTATTCTTATTAGGTATGTGAACGGACTTTGCCAACTTTGGTAACCGTATTATCACGTAGTTTGGTGTCCACTGAAACTTACATAGTAACACACTAAATTAGTGTTCTTCTCTGCCTTTGACAAAGACTAAGTTCATTCCCATGAACTTTAAAGATAGATAAATTCATTTATAGTTTATATATTATATATATTTTCAATTCATCAAAATATTTGTACCTGGGATTGTTTATTCTTGCCTATCTCTGATTTGTGATGCTGGATTTTAACCATCCAGATCCTGGCTCCATTTCCAACATATCGGCTGCCACAGGGATTGCCAGTCAACTGCAGTGTACCCCTCAGATTGCCACACTATATTTTCTTATAATACTTGAAGTATTCTTTGTAAAAGTGGTTCCACTATTTGTCTAAGGATTCAAGTTGATCAATATTTATTAATTTGTAGATTATACCTTACTTGCTTTAAGCAGATAATTTTGCCTACTATAAATCAGCATAAAACATTTGTATTTTTTTAAAACATTTATTTAAGTTCAGCAGTACATATGCAGGATTGTTATATAGGTGGACTTGCATCACAGGGGTTTATTTTATAGATTACTTCATCATCCAGGTAGTAAGCCTAGTACCCAATAGTTATTTTTTTTATCTGTTTTCCCCTCCCACCCTCCATCCTCAAGCAGACCCCGGTGTCTGTTGTTCCCCTCTTTGTGTCCATGAGTTCTCATCATTTAGCTCCCACTTATAAGTAAGAACACGCAGTATTTGGTTTTCTGTTTCTGTGTTAGTTTACTAAGGATAATGGCCTTGAGCTGTATCCATGTTGCTGCAAGGGACATGATCTCATTCTTTCTTTAGGCTGCATAGTATTCTATGGTGTATAAGTACCACATTTTCTTTATCCAATCTGCACTGATGTGCATTTAGGTTGATTCCATGTCTTGGCTATTGTGAATAGTGCTGCAATGAACATTTGCATGCATGTGTCTTTATGGTAGAATGATTTATATTCCTCTGGGTAAATACCCAGTAATGGGATTGCTGGGTTGAATGGTAGTTCCGTTTTTAGCCCCTTGAGGAATGGCCAGACTGTTTTCCACAATGGTTGAACTAATTTATACTCCCACTAACAGTGTATAAGCATTCTCTTTTCTTTGCAACCTTTGCCAGCATATGTTATTTTTTGACTTTTTGATAATAGCCATCCTGACTGATGGGAGATGGTATCTCATTGTGGTTTTGATTTGCATTTCTCTAATGATCACTGATATTGAGCTTTTTTCCATATGCTTCTTGGCCACATGTGTGTCATGTTTTCAAGTGTCTGTTCACCTCCTTTGCCCACTTTTTAATAGAGTTGATTTTCTTCTTATAAATTAAAACATCTGTATCTTCTACAGAATTTGTAGTATCATGTTATTTTTTCCACACATTTTAATGCTTTTTTATTTTATTAAAGGCCTTCCTACTTTCTTTAGTTTGAACTGCACAATTAATTGGGTTTTGTCTAGTAATCTTCTTATGATTTCACCTGTATGCACTCCTTTCTCCCACTACCGCTCATGTTCCCGAGGAGCAAAGGGTGTGTCTTTGATTTATAGCAGCTCCTTTGCAAGATCCTCATATGGATTTCATGTGATTGACATTTTTCGTTTGGTCAATAATGAACTATATTCATCCTACTGCCTATATAGTTCCTGTTTTTTTGTAAATTGTTTAAGAAAATACCCAAATTCTCTCAAACCACAAATAAGATCAGTGGTCTTTACTTTGAGGAGGGACACTCCTACCAGAAGCTGTTCACTGGTGTCTAATTAAGAGGTTCCCAAAGAATTGTTGTCCTAATATCTACATAGCACTTTATATTATCTCACGGTAGCATCACAACAATTCTCAGAGGTAGATTTTCTTTTTTACTATGAGAAAATTACACTTAGCTTTCCAGGCCCAAATGTGTTAGGTATGGAAGAACTAGGACATGAATCCAGGTGTTCTTATTCTAAGGTAGTGTTCATTTCAGCAGGCCACATCTGTCTCCATGGGGAAGCTGCTATGGAATCAAGTGCAAAGCCAAAGCTGTTTTTTGCCCCTCTGCTCCCAGGAATTATGGCACAGTGGTGTGGGATAGGAGTCATCAACACTGAAGTATCTACCTATAATTTCTTGGAAACTACCTTTCTATCCATGAGCTGAAGAGTCACACCTCACAGATAAAAATGGGCACCTCTGATTATTGCCATGTGCTTCAGAACCCATGGAGATCAGGGTCATGACAGAGTGGTACAGTATAAGCATGGCTTAAGCCCTGGAGAAACCTGTCTTCAGTCATTGCTAATTCACATAATTGTATCAGCCCAAAGTCTGGAGCACCGAACTATAAATGCCTTGAGGGTTACAGGCATATTTTCATCTACTTAAGAGCCTATGGTCTAACATAGTGCCTGAGACACAATAACAGTATTTGCTGAAAAAACAAATAAACTATTTTGGCACAAAATATAATTGAATTCAATCTTTACTTTAAACTTCTAGAATGCCATATCAATTATATGGACCTGAAAAAGACACCAGAAAGTCTCTTCCTAAGTATTTTATATTTGGATTAAAAAAGATCTCTTATAAACTCACAAAATTCAGAGGTACTGCCCTTTAACTCAGAAAGGTCTATGCCAATTCATATCAGATTAGATCTAAGTGCTACTAGTTATGTAAGACTGGGTGAAAGAATATTCTCAGGTTTACACAAGGGTTATTAAGAGATTTAAAAATAAAAATCAAAGGTAATATTAATGTATATTTCAAAATTGCTAAAGGAATGCATTTTTAACATTCTCACCACATTAACAAATGGTAATTTGTAAAGTGATGGATGTGTTATTTATCAATTAAAAATAAACACATTTAATAATAGTGTTATGTCACAGTCACTTGCAAAACAGATGAAGCTCAAATTTTATGAAGTGTCGCAATGGCCTCATTGAAATTATTTCCCAAATATTAACACCAAGAAAGTGAAGAAAATATCAACCCTGCCACTCAGACTTAAACCTTCTAGGCTGCCTGATTCAAGCAGTAGCAGACAAGGTGTTTTTATGTCATCCCTCACACTGAATCTGTCCTCCAAATGCCTTCAAATGACTTTTGCTAATTCTTTCTCAGAAAATGTGCAAAAAGGATTTCCATAGAGGTCTTTGGAGATTTCCTGTGTCCTCATGTGTGTAATAGGTTGGGTCAAGTAATAATGAAGGAAAAAGGAAGAATGGGGATTTTGTTTTATGTATTTTTCTCCTTCTGGGCATCAAAAGAGGAAAAAAAGGAAAAGGGAAAATTATACTATACAGATGATGTCAGTGTTAAATTAAATTAAGATCACATGTTTGGCTGTGGCACCTGTCATCTTTTGATTATTGAAGAGATTGTTGGTAATGAAATACATTTGTAAGAAATATTTTTGGTGTAAACTGTATACATGTACAAACTATGAGCTGTGCATCTAATAAAATGATAGATTTAGAAATTGCCTCACACCTAAATTCATGCTTTTCAAATAGCTATTTACAGAAAGAAAAGTGATATTTAAGCTATCATAGTAGAATATTATAATCTGCCTTATATTACCTTAGATAATAGTCCCATATTTTAAAATAATGTTGTAAAAACCATTCAATTATTTATTCACACCTAAGTCATATAAATCGAAAGATTTGGGGATGTGTCCAAGAAAATAATTATTTTTTTACAAAAGTAAGACCTCACTGTCATGGCTTAGAGAGACTGCCACAAAACAAGTTATACTATAGATAAAAATAAACCAAACCAATATGAATTTTTAACCAAAAAAATGTTATATAGACATTAAAAACAACTATTAATTTTAATCTTTTCTGTTATGAAACGAAACATCAGTGTATCTGGCTGTGCTATACGTTCAATATGTATTTCTCTTTCCTGATAGGTCCTTGACACTTACTGTAAAATCTCTACAGACCTGGAAGATGATCTCAGCCTGGGGAGAGCCTATGAAGCCATCGCCAAGGTCCTGCAGAGGTAAGTTAGTGCATCCTCGTCTTGCTGTCACTATGAATTCACTCAACTGTGAAAGGCTTAAATTGTTTGAGGTCTGTCGCTTTCCATTATGGCCTGCTTAAATTTTAAGCAGTGCCCTTCTTAAGTGACCCTTTCATCGTAAGTTATTTTAAACCATTTTGGTATTTTAAAATGCACATCTAAACTCTCCTTTGTCTATGCCTCCTTTGTATTATTTTCTTTTTGGTCTTCTGTAAGTTTAGTGATGACCTTGAATAAAAGAGAAAAAAATCGGGTCACATCTCAAGAGTTAAGAAAGCAGAGCGCACAGAAATATGTAGTACGCTTCAGTGGCTCAGGCTCACCATAACCTTTCCATCTCTTCTTTGAGGAAAGTTTCCGTTTATGCTTCAGTCATGCTTTTTCCATTAAGACATCTATCCTTTGAGCACATCTGGATAAACAATTGCTTGTAAAACCAATATTCTCAATGTTTCATTTAAAACAGAAAATTTTAGATATATAAACAACTTCTGATACCTATTCTTCCATGGAAGATATATTATTCACCCTTCCCTCATTGTATTGTAGTCATTTTCGACTCCATTTGATTGTTATATAGTAGCATTACGACTTAAGAAAGAATAACAATAAGAAAAGTTATCAAAGTTAAGGCCTTGGTTTTTACTATGTTATCTTATATCCAAGATACAGCTTTTTAATAGTAATGGTGATAGCAATAATTGTAGTAATAAGATACAAATTGTGTTCATTCTAATTTCTTCCCATTTATATTTCAGTTGTAAACACATACAAGATGGTGTTTTAAAAGTAAAATTGCCATTTGAAAGGCATTTGAAACATTAAAAAGTACCTAGTGAGGTAAAATTGGAATCATTATATAAGTACTATTACTAATATAATAATCATAATTTAAAATATCAGTACCAATGTAATTAAAGATACCCTACAAAATAAATGAAATGCAGTCATCACTGGATAAATGGTTTAAGAATGCAGACATATTTAGAAGGGGAGGCCAGGTGCAGTGGCTCACCCCTGTAATCCCAGCACTCTGGGGGCCGAGATGGGTGGATCACCTGATGCCAGCGGTTCGAGACCAGCCTGGCCAACATGGTGAAACCCCATCTCTACTCATGAGGTCAAAAGACAGAGACCATTCTGGCCAACGTGGTGAAACCCTGTCTCTACTAAATATACAAAAATAGTTTGCTGGGCGTGGTGGCACGTGCCTGTAGTCCCAGCTACTTGAGAGGCTGAGGCAGGAGAATTGCTTGAACCTGGGAGGCAGAGGTTGCAGTGAGCCAAGATCACACCACTGTACTCCAGCCTGGTGACAGAACAAGACTCCGACTCAAGAAAAAAAAAAATTAGCTGGGCATGGTGGTGGGCTCCTATAAATCCAGCTACTCAGGAGGCTGAGGCAGGAGAATTGCTTGATCCCAGGGGGTGTAGGCTGCAGTGAGCCGAGATTGCATCATTGCACTCTAGCCTGGACAACAAGAGCAAAACTCCATCTCAAAAAAAAAAAAAAAAAGAAAGAAAGAAAGAAAAGGAGAGGATGGGTGTTTACCCAGGAAAGACAGGGCTAGTTATAGGTGTGGCAAGCAGCCTGTGAGTGTTGTGATTCTTCTAAATAAAGATTGGAAACTAGTCCATGGAAGATCAGCTCAGCAATTTTTAAAAACATTTACTTTCCAAATAACAACCCAGAAGATGGAGATGGTTGAATACAAAGAAGCGACTGACAAGAATTCAATTTATGTGTATTTAGAACAAACCAACCCTGTTGGTTGTACCTTTTTATTATGAAATTACTTGACTGGGCTATCATCGCCCAAAAATCAGCAGAAAAGGATTGAATTCTTTGCTTTGCTTTGTAGCTGTAAATAATGTGTCCCCTAACATGTTTATAAAATAATTCTTACAAAATGCCATTTCCATTGTGTTCCAGCATAACTAGAGAGCTAAGCTGGGTGTAGTGGTGGGTGCTTGTAATCCCAGTTATTTAGGAGGCTGAGACGGGAAGATCTCTGGACCCCAGGGGTTTGAGTCCAACCTGGGCAACATAGCAAGACCTCATCTCAAAAATAAATAAATAGTTTATTTATTAAAATTAATTAATTAATTAAAAATTTCAGGGGAAAATATTTTTTATAAATAAGTACTAAGCACTTACTATGTCACAGGACAAATATTGAAATGTCCCTTTGGTAACTGTTCGTCTTTATAATTATTTTTGAAACTTCCAGAGACAGGAGGCTGTCTTCAAATAATTCTCACCTGTTAGCCTTGGGTCTTATCTGGAATGTTTTAGCCTCCATCCCGGGATTTGAATTTCTGGTCGATACAGTCAAAACTAGGTGAAAAGTCAATCAATTAGCTGGTGAATTTTGGCACTCAGAGGCAATCTGATGTTTTAATTTGCCTACTTAAGTGTTATTTGGGCTTGGAAGTGGGACAGAATACCACTGTGTTTGATATATAATGAGGTTGAGTTTGTTTGGGGTAGGACTGGGGACCATTCTGCTCCAACACTGTCAGCAGCCTAACCAATGTGCCTTAGGGCAAACATTTAAAGGCGCAAGAAGATGTATCCCCATTTTACTTTTTTTTTTTTTTTTTTTTTTGAGACGGAGGTTCGCTCTTGTTGCCCAGGCTGGAGTGCAATGGCGTGATCTCGGCTCACCGCAACCTCCGCCTCCTGGGTTCAGGCAATTCTCCTGCCTCAGCCTCCTGAGTAGCTGGGATTACAGGCATGCGCCACCATGCCCAGCTGATTTTTTGTATTTTTAGTAGAGACGGGGTTTCACTATGTTGACCAGGATGGTCTCGATCTCTTGACCTCATGATCCACCCGCCTCGGCCTCCCAAAGTGCTGGGATTACAGGCGTGAGCCACCGCGCCCAGCCTACTTTTATGCCAAGTAAACTAATTCCCTTTACAAGAATTCCTGGCTAGGCACAATGGCTCACACCTGTAATCCCAGCAGTTTGAAAGGCCAAAGTGGGAGGATCATTTGAACCCAGGAGCTTGAGACCAGCCTGGGCCACATAGCAAGAACTCATCTCTATTTTTTTGTAATTAATTTAAAAAAGCAATTCTCATCTACTAAAGTACAGTAAAGCTACCAGTGATTTCATGGTAGATGTGGATTCTTAATTTTATAATGTTATACAAGCACAAGACAGTGCAGGGAACGCTTCTTCCGAGGCCATAGTGAAAAAGTGTCCCAAGGCCACAGCCAGCTTTTCCAATCCAAATCTGTAAATTTGCAGCATTGTTGGTGGTTGTAGAGGAGCTCTCAGGGGAATGCAAGCCTCTGCATATTATTTCAACATCTGTGCAAATAATTCAAAGGGTGATCTACTAACAGGCAGATGTTTCCGAACATAAAATTCTGTAAGATAGACAATGTCACCCTGAATAGCTGCAAAGCATTATTAAGTCATGTCCAGTCATAGTATAAATGCTTTGATGTAAATTCTGTGATCATTTTTAGAACATTTTGCTTGATATCCTTCAGTAAACATGCATGTGCACACATACACATGTGCACATACCCACACACATAGACACAAGCACAGACACACACATGTACCAGCCCTTTCAGAGTCCTAAATTGTCCTTCTCAGGTTAGTAGCAACATGCAAGAAATAGACTACAGCCCAAATAGAGGAAATTATGGTGGTGGCAGCTGAGAAATAAATCAAGTTGCATATGAAGCTCAGTATCACCTCTAAATCTCTTTTTCCGCACAGGTTTCACTAATGGTAGCCCTATCTCTATAAACATATTTCATATCTTTAAAGGAAATGGAAGAGGATAGCCATGTCTAGGATAAGTGTGTGTCTAAGGCCATCAGCTGAGTGTGCATGAGAGGTGAATAAGATCTAAGGCTGGAAGCTTCTAACATGCTTATAAGAATTTATACTAAGCTTTCAATTGAAAAACACACCACAATCTCTCAAGATTGAGGATTTGGTAATACAGAGTTGCCTGTCTGGTGACGTTATTAGTAGATAGAGACTTGGTGTTAGAATTATTAGGAAGGTGTTAATAAGTGAACAAGTTTTGTTATTTTTGCCATTGATCTGAATAAAATTAATTGCGTAAGAATTTAAGCAGCATAGCAGAAAATAAGCATTTATAATGGTATTCTTCCCCTACTTGGAATAATAGTGAAGAAAAGAGTTGATACTCTAAAATGCTAACAATTGCCTTGTGAAACTACAATAAAAGCTCGAATTATGGTCCATAAAACAAAGAGAAACTGAATTGAGAAATTGCAAGTAAATATTATTGTTATACAGATAGACAGTTTGAGTAAATACAGAGAGAGAAAACCCCTCAATTTTCCTTATGGCATTTCTTTTTTTGCCTCATTTATTGAAGTAGCTCATTTGCAGAAATGCCACAACTTTCCAAAATACTCAGACTACTTAAAAGAATACAGAGAAAAAAATCACAAAAATATGTTTAAGACGCATTGGTTACAACTAACCTATCTCTGGGTTTATTCCATACCAGTTGTAAATTTTCTTGCAAACTCAAGTTAAATTATTTCCGAGAAAACTTTCCACAATGGGGATCTTTAAATCAATCAGCACAAAGTTTCAAGTGTGAAAATTACCTTTCTGTTATAGCTGAAAATTAATTTTTTCTTGCTTGAGAGAAATGACACGCCCTAGTAATTTTCATATATTCTTTAAAATGGAACATCCAGGCTTTGATGTGAAATTTCCTAAAAATGACCAAAAAATACATCAAAACATATCTATTAATTCATGAAATTAAGAATAGCTTTTTGCATTTTCTCCTGTCACTGATCCCATTTGCCTTATTACTTTCATCTGTGGCCCACAAACTTGGTGGCACAATCAACAAACCCCTTAGTGGCTGTTTCATCTCTGCTCTATTTGATTTCTTCTCTCTGAGTAAATGATTAAGTTTTCATGCATTGGTTCAGCCAAAATCTATGTTCACTCAACCACATCCTT